GGGATTAGTCACCTTTTGTAGATGCTATTTTCAAAGACCAAGAGAGTTGCAAGGCAGTAGAAGAAATAGAAAAAGGACAGACAGAAATGAAGATCCACCGGTCAAGAAGGACAAGTTTGCATGACTCTCTGTCATGGACCATGATTTTGTTGCGTTATTTTGTTTTGTTTTCCCACTTATTTTAATGATACAAAAAGGATTTGGATAGTTTACGTGCATCATAAAGGTCGGTTGTATACTCTGTCATTGCTTTTAACTGTCTAAAAGATTATCGTTTGGGGTTTAACGTATGTTAATGGGGAAGAAGAGATTTTCTTTTCAAACTTTTTTCTTAGTCAAAAGTTTTGGAAGTCAAATGGCCAACACGTGTGGCCATCTGGTTTTGCAAAACAATGCAAGATCATCAATGTAACTTGACACGTCAATATTCCTTTACCTTGCGGTTAAATCCAGCTATTAATTCGTAACAAACGATAATATCAATAATTGATTTGTGACTTTTGAAACATCAATAGTAAAAAAAAATTGACTCAAACTTAGTGACTATGTGCGTAGTTTAACCAAATATTTAAGTTGTTAGAAGTTTATAAGTTTTAAAAATGTTTATAAAAGTAAAAGAATTACATTTAAAATGTAAAAAACATAAACGCAATATGAATGTCATTATGTTTATAAAATATATATTAATTATAGGGTAAGGAATGCAAATACTCCCCAATTATGGGTATTACTTTATTAAGTCACTTGACTATTAAAAGTTACAAAATAGTCTTTCAATAGAGTGTTTCTATCAACTATTAATAGTTACAAAATGATCACCTAAATAGTAATTATGTTCCAGACTAGTCATTTCTCGTTAAAAAATTAACGATTGCTTAAGCTAGATGTTAACATAATGACTGAAATATGATAGTCACTTGAGATTTTGGGATCAAATTTTAGCATATCATAGTTAACAAGTTAACGTTCAACTCAAAATATTATATTTTTAACGGAAAAGGACGAGTTTGGAATATAATGAGTAGTCGGGTGACTATTTTGTAACTTTTAATAGTCGAGAGACTCAACAAAGCAAACACTACATAGTTAAATAATCATTTTGCAAATTTTAATAATTAAGAGACTTAATAAAATAATATTCTATAATTAGGAGATCATTTACGTTATTTAGCCTTAATTCTAATATAATGCTAAAGAGATCTTAGGGTGCGTTTGATTTACAGAATGTAAGATTACCAGTTAGGGAATAGGATTATTAGGAATGTTACATTACTGTGTTTGGTTGGTTTGGCATGAATGTAAGATTACCGTGTTTGGTTGAAGGAATAAAAGATTACTGGAATGTATATTTTACCAAATTGTCCTTGTTCTATATTTTTAACAAGTAAAATTCTAAATATTTAAATAAAAATATTTATATAAAAATTTTATATGTTGATAATATATTACTTGAGTATTTAAATATATCATATATTATTTTAATTTTAATTAATATTAAATTTTACATAATTTATGGTAAAAATATATTAAAAATATTGTGTTTATAATATTTTTTTTTGAGATTTTCTCACTAGGGTAGTGTGTTGATGACAAAAAGCTTCGATTTTTGGAGGCTAATGCGTTCAAGGTGGTTACTTGTTTCCATCATGAATGAAGACAAAGTTAACAGATGAGATAACTATACATCTTTGGTTCTTATATCGTTTTCTATAAACCATAAAGTCCTGAAACTATGTCTTATATTTTAAATTCATCTCCGGATTTTAAAATATTTTAATTGTGTCTTAAAACTATCAACACCATTTCAATTAGGTCATTCTGTTAGCTTGAATATTAAATATTAACTTTGATTTAAAGTACATCATAGTTAAAATACGTTGATCGAATTTTAAACACGTATACATGTGCTACATGAACATAACAAAGGAAGCTCGCTTTGTCCTAAAGTTTTATATCCAGAAAACAATGCCTGAATAAGTGAAAGAAAACACAGAATCTGTTCTTCATTAGCAACCTCCCATTCCAACATCGTCTGGACAGCAGTGCAGCGCGATGGATCTTTCGCTAGATCGGTTCAGAAAAAGCGGTTAAAAGCTTAGCAAATTGTTTCCGTCGAATATCTCGACTATTGAAAATAGCATCCACAATCCATTGCCTTACCTGTTTCAATAAAGAGAAGTTTGAGTTTGTTAAGATAAGATAAAAATTGACGTTTTCGGCAAAAACGAGTAGTCGAAACATAATGGAAATCATGTGTCATTAGTCCATTATTGAGAAGAGATGCAGAGAGACGCAAACAGTGAAAAACAAGTTGAAAAGTTTGTCACCGAGAAATGAAATTAAAGCTAGCATGAACATCTTTTTATCCACACTTGCCATTACAAAGCAATAAATGAACACTATTTAGCCAGCTCTTGGGGACAAGGAAACCGTTCATACAATATGAATGAGCTACTGACATATATAACACAACATTGCAGCATAAGGAACCATCAGCCAAATTCAAGAGGTAGATAACTTCTACGAATAGATGATTCCCGAAACAACAGTGAATCGAAGATGTTCCAAAGAACTTCTGTCTGGTGACCAAGCAATGTCGAACTCTTCTTCACCGGACTCGACGCTAGTTGATTGTATACAACAATCTGTTGCACTCTAAAACCCAACTCTCCATCTCCATGTCCATCCTAATTCGTGCATTAACATTCCAACCCTTAACCCTCAATTCCCAGCAATGGAATTTTATTCAGGTATAAATATAATTTCACAGTACCAAAAAAGATACTACTATTAATATATATATATATATATACTTTTTGCATCTTACACTATAAGCATAAATATCATAACTGCAAATGAATTACCCTTGAACTTTGCAGATTCTTCTTCAGACAACCTCTACACACTGATCTATTTTCATTGTCTTGGCTAATATTTTACAGAAAGTAGAACATGCATCATTACAGGTAAATGAACATAGGTAATTTAACAAACATTTTAATATTAGAAAATAATAATATTTAACAAGAACAATTGTTTGTCATCACAATAAAATAATTGAACACTAATTTAACAGTTCTAAAGTAAGTAAAAACAAACCACAGGATAAAGTTGCCATGCATATAGCTGAGAAAAAGCTTAAACAAAAAAAGGGCATGGTTCATTAAGACCAGCAGAAATAAAAAAAAATAACAGTCTCAACAACATAACAGGTAGGGGGATAACAGACGAATTGAATCAGACGGGCCAGCAATACTATCATGAGCAAAAGCCATTTTGATTAAGCACCACCAAATTATATTAAGTTTTCTAAGAAATACAAAGGATATACATTTAGAGAGTACAAGTAAAACATCTTTTTTTCATGCCCACAGATACTCTAACAAGGATACCACTCACAACGATGAATCCTCTTATTTAGAGATTGCATGTTACAGGGTCACTTTTGAACTGTAGTGGCTTCATGATATAACTCTCTAGGTTCATTGATGCCCAATTTCTGTCCAGGAAAAATATGCCCTATTTCTTCTAACTTGGAATTGTCCAATAAAAAGTCTATAATCATTTCAAAGTTGTTTACACGAGCAATAAGTTAGGTCTTATGTATACTGCCCTGCGTACACAAACACTTAATAGTACGATTTAGGTAGTAACAATAGTGTATACTACACTTCCGCCTCAACTTAAGTAATATAGGTTGGTGTTCTCAGCAGTAAGAGATTCAAAAAATGCCTGCTCTTATTTTCCAATAGGAAAACAACAAATTTGTTAGCCAGGAGCAGGTTTAATAGGGTTTGTCCACGTAAAACCTCTCTTGTTGAGAATATATATGCATATGGCTGGGTAAAAGATAATATTATTTTCTCAAAAAAATCAGAATTCGAACCGTTACAATTATATAGTGTCTATGCGTGTTGTTAATTGACTAAGAAAAAATTCAGAACATATACTAACTTCTAAATTGTAATCACTCCAACTATTCAACATACATATACATGGCATTATAGCAGTGGCAACAAGATGCCATTAAATTAGAGCAAGAATTAGCGCATAAACACTGGCAATTTTGCTAGACAAAAACAGTTCCAAGGTTGGACAAAGCATTCTAAATGCAACTCATAAACAAAACACTCTAAATGCAACTCTTAAATTTATCATTCTATCCAATTTTTAAGACAAGAGTAACCGTAACAACGAAAACATCATCAATTTCTTCAATGCATACAATGCAAAGCTTCGAACAATCCACATAATTCATACGAACCCAAATAATTCAGCTCGATAAAAGCTTTCTAAAAAAGCGGACACAACCTAAAATTTCAAATAAAGCTATACCGAAAAACCCCAAATAACAATTTGAAACCAAGTTCTCTTCAAGAGAAAACATAGGTTCCAAGCAAAAAGATCATTATTTTGACACTATCAATGGAGAAAACATGGGCTTGACCAACTGGAAAAATAACAGAGCAAATGTAGGAGGATAAATTCAGTAGGAAAACAGGGGAAACGTACGAATTTGCGGAGGAGGGAGTCAGTGAGGGGAAACCATGGTGATAAGAAAACGTTGCGTGAGGGAGGAGGAAGAAGAAGGGGATGAATCCTGATAGCCCATAACGAAGTGGGAAGAAGGTTATTTTAGATAATGGGGACGTGAATAATGAAATACTTAATGAGATGGGGGATAGATATTACCAGGAAAACAGGGAAGAAAATTACTATTGGTATTACTTCATTACTGTTGGTATTACTTCATTCCTGTCATTTGATAATATGACCATCTAAACGTAGATATATTTTGTTGGGAAAAAAACATTCCTCCTGCGAATAAAATATACCGTGAACTAAACGGGCTCTTAATCAACGAATGCCATAACAATTAACCATCCTCGCCACGCAAGCAAAAGTTGAAGGCTTTGGTTGGAGGTTAAAGCCAGTACACTGGGAATTTCATGTCTAATGTACTTTACCCTGTACGATCCAAGAAAATTTGAACTTTGGGTTTTGGGCTAAATGCAAAATTACGATAAAAATAATATTAAAAAATGGTTCACAATCTATTGTTCATGGCGATTTCTAGACACAGCCCACCAAGCCCACATCATCTCTGACTCCGATTGTCTCTCCTACTTCACCCATTTCTTAATAATTTAGCCAGCGATCGTTTTGAATCTATTTTTCTCCACTTCTGCTTCGTCTCTCGTTTCTATTTCCTCACCTCTCCTCAATCTAACAACCAAAACACCCTGAATCCCATTTCATCTCCACTCCCCGTTTAATTCTGTACACTTTTTGAATTTTGGGTTCGAATTGTATTTCCTATTTTTTGATTCAATTGTTTCCCTGTGTACACGAGTTTGTGATCTGGTCCTGGATTTTATTGTTCTAGCCTGATCTGGGAGAATTATACGATTAGTTCGGAATCTGCTTCGATTCTTTGTTTTGGGGCGTTGAGATGGCGGGGCAAAATCAGGATCAATTCGAATCTTACTTCAGGAAAGCAGATTTAGACGGGGATGGCAGAATTAGTGGAGTTGAGGCTGTTGCTTTCTTTCAAGGATCCGGTTTGTCCAAACAAGTCCTCGCTCAGGTCCCTTTACCTCTCTCTCTCTCTCCCGTTTCATTTCCTATTAGAATCGAGATTTCTGGGAACTTACCGAATTTAGGTTAGATTGCATTTGATTGTAACATGGTGAAATTTCTCAATAAACGTCAACATTTTGTTGTTGTTTTTCTCTTGTACGATTATCAGCCTGCTTCTTCAGATTTCTCTTTACCAATTGTCCATTTCTTATGTGGAATATGTTCCTTTTACTAGTTAGTACGTCAATAATTTATCAAATAGTTAAGGTTTCGATTGTACTAAGATACATGCCTTGCTGGCTGAAGTTGCAATTGACAGTAGAACATAATACATTCGTTATAGGAACTTTTTCTAGTTGTTTTTGCGATTTTGTTTCTTATGGATGTTTTAAATGTTTAAACTTTCCTTTGTTAGCTGCTGAACCAGTGACAGTCAGTTTGTTCTAGATTTTATTAATATACTGCCTGTTAAACAAAACTTGCATACAAGAAAGGAGAGGCTATAAGTCGGAGGTTTGTAAACCAGTGCATTTATAGTTTGAAAGAATAGACAAAAAATGAAGAATCATTTTTAATTCTGATGAAATAACAGATGCAATGCCTTCAGCCTTGCTGTACTTTCTGTAGCATTTGGTGGTCGATGATGGATTTTCACACAGTGAATGGCATAGTTTAGGGATTGAAAATTTTGATTTCTAGATTTTTGTGTTGGATTAGTACACATGTAACCTGTTATACATGCTCTATAGTGATTGATGTGCCTTATGCCCCCTTTCTGGTATTAATTTATTAAAGCAAGGAGTTTAATATTATGGGTTCATTCATATTGTCTTATTCAATGATTTCAGATATGGACATATGCTGATCAAAGCCATAGTGGTTCCCTAAGTAAGCCAGAGTTTTTTAATGCTCTCAAGCTTGTGACTGTAGCACAAAGGCGTGAATTAACACCAGACATTGTCAAGGCAGCATTGTATGGTCCTGCTGCAGCAAAAATTCCAGCGCCACAAATTAATTTTCCTCTTACATCCTCTCCACAGATGGGTGCAGCTATGCCAACATCCTCTTCAAGTCCTGGGTTCGGAGGACCAGGTGCTCCAAATGCTGGTATGGGCCAGCAGCAGTTCCCTTCTCAACAAAACCTGTCAATGAGACTCCCACAAACCATACCTGCTGCTCCTGCCCTGCGTCCTCAAGGTATCGCAACTCCGGAGTCTTCTAGGGGAGGTAGTAAAGTTGGTCAACTTCAAGCTGGTTCTACTGCCCTTTCACATCAATCTATGCCCACTGTTGCAACTGGTCCTGGTTTCACAAATCAAAATATGTCAAGCAATTGGCTTGCTGGAAAAACTGGTGGAGCTTCAACTGAGCCAGGAGGGTTCACTCCATCAACAGCACCAAAGCTTCAAACAGCAGTTTCATTGCCTTCCCAGCCTACTGATAATAATTCTAAAGCATTGATTGTTTCTGGAAATGAACCTGCTTCTAACTCTTCATTTGGAGGTGATGCATTTTCTGCAGCCTTATTTATGTCAAAACAGGAATTATCTACACAAACCTTTGCTCCTCACAGTGCACCCACCTCATCAGGGATTAGACCAGTTTCAAGTGTGCCCCAACCATTAGTTAAGTCCAACTCTCTTGACTCGTTGCAAAGTACATTGTCTGTGCCTTCTGCTGGTAGTCAAAGTCAAAGGCCATACTCTTCTATAATGTCAAGCCAACAAGCTTCGTCCCAAATTTCCTCCTCTATTACACCATCCGGGATCTCTGTCGGAGCTGGGAATGCTGCTTCGAGCAGTTCCCAGCCTCCATGGACAAAAATGAAACCATCTGATGTTCAGAAATATACAAAAGTGTTCATGGAAGTAGACACTGACAGAGATGGGAAAATAACTGGTGAGCAGGCGAGGAATCTATTTTTGAGTTGGAGGCTACCTAGAGGTATGTTACTTCATATGTTGTTATTATTCAAATTAGTTTCTGAGATATGAATGTGATGCATGACATAGATGGCATTATCTGCTTAGCTTGTGTAACATGTTTGGTGATTTCATATGCGTGAGAAATAGTGGTAGGAATTCCCTGTTGTCAGATGCTAAAAGCCCAAAACATATATTTTGTTATTGTGCTTGTGGTCTGACGCCTTCTTTTTCCAGAAAATTTGTGAATATTATTATATTATCATTTGGAGTTATATCAATAAAGGTTTGTTTTTAATTACGCTAGTTATTAGGATTTTATTCTGTGAGTTTTAGAGAAGACAAATTTTCTATGATTTTTATTTTTCACTTGCTTACAAAAGTCGAGTCCCCCCTAATTTATAGAACTATAGAGAACAATCCAAGTAAACTTCTCTACAAAATTGATTTAGAGATAAGACTAAGAATTTAAATTTGAATTTCAAACTAACTTTTTTTTTTATATGATCTTGGATCATACGAGGGATGGGCTCAAATGTTTAATTTTTTCTGAACTAAGGAGGATTGTTGGATGTTTAAGTGTGAGATTGTGTTGATTCAAGAAACAATATGCAGTGAATAGTTTCCGGGGACTCGAATATGATTTTTGATTATGGAGTTGGAGGTTCGGATGGTCTCCGACTTCAAGACGAGCAATAAGTGGCAGAAAGGCGGATAGAGAGTTTTCGAAGTTTGCTTTGTTGTACTCTTATCGTGTGGAAGCTCATGGCTTTGGTGTTAGAATTTGGCTTCTATTATAGTTGTATTGTTTTGTGTTGTATTTCGGGCCAGTTTTAGGCTTTAAGTCTGGTTAGTCATATTAGAGATGTTGTTGTATCTTATGTAATTTCTTATGTTTAATGAAATCTTAAGGCACTCTTTTCCTCCTTCCGCTGATTAAGGAGCTTCTCTACAAACTCCTTTAATCAAGAAGGGGTTTTTTAACGAGGCCTTCAATTCCTATAAAAAAAATAAAAAATTCAAACTAACTGATATTTAGGAATCTATAATCTACATATTCTTGTAGGTTTTGGGTAGTAAAATTACTTTTTGCTTCTAGGGTTGTAAGCTGATGTTACCTAGTTTTTTTTAGATGGTATCATTCAATAAATCCTTGTTTTGACTAAAATATTTTGGCATGAATCTTGCTGGAGAAGTTCTACCAGTGCAGTGTTCTTGGTCCTGCTGGAATGCAGACCATGGTTATTCAGGTAAATATGTTTAACATTGTTATTTTGTCTTTTTCAGAGGTTTTGAAGCAGGTTTGGGACTTATCTGATCAGGATAGTGATAGCATGCTTTCTTTGAGAGAGTTCTGCTTTGCTCTCTATTTGATGGAGCGGTATAGGGAAGGCCATCCTCTTCCATCTGCACTCCCAAGAAATGTTATGTTTGATGAGACACTCTTGTCCATGACAGGCCAAACCAATGTTTCATATGGAAATCCAGCTTGGGGTCGCAATCCTGGTATTAGTTTGGATCTCTTCTAATATCTTTACTTTTTTTAGTTCCCATTGTTGTCATCCAAGAATAATCTTGATAAGAACGACTATTGCCATTAGGTTATGGACAGCAGCTGGGGATGGGCGCCCAGCCAGGAATGGATACTCAGCCAGGGATGGGTGCCCAGCCAATTACTCACTCAGCTGGTTTAAAACCTCCAATTCTTCCCAATGCTTCTGCTGATACTACTGCAATGTCCAACCAACAAAAGCCGAGAGCACCTGTTTTGGATGACTCCTTTGGAACTCAAGTTGATAATACCGAACCGAATTCAGAGAATGGAACAACCCAAAATATAATGGCTAATGGAGATAAGGCATGACATCTTCTAGATAATGCTCAAATACTCTCTCCCTCTCTCCCTCACACACACACACACACGCGCACAGAAACACAGGCACATACACACACATGTGGGCATGTACCCACTTAAGTTTTTCCTTCTCCATTCTTCCATAGGTTTGGTGAGAGTTTTGACGGTTGATTTATTAACACTTCTGAAAGTAATTTTCTTTACCTAAGCTAGCCTTTTGATTTTTTTTATTTGTTCCTGATGGATAACGAGGAGCATAATTCTTTGAAATTTGGCAGGTTAATGGAACTGAAAAAGTGATTTTGGATTCCAGAGAGAAGCTTGAGTTCTACCGTGAGAAAATGCAGGAACTTGTGAGTATTTTCTATTTCACTTTTTTTTTCTTTGGAGACACTTGTGATGCGGGGGTCTCATTTTGATTAAACCTGTAGTAAAGCTCCTCATCATGGTTATAGAATCAAGAATTAGAATGACTAGTGTAGGTGTGTTGCTGTGTGCATCATATCCTTTGTAGGTTGTTTCAGCCTGCTGAAAACATTGTATTAGTAGTTCAACACTGTTCTCATTAAGATTTAAATGCAATGCCTGAATGCTGGTTCTTTTCCTAATTTAATTGGTGAGTTCTGATAAGGCTGGGAAATTTTAGAACTTCAAAATTCAACCATTTTTTATACTACTTCCATTGTCTTTATGTTCAGATCATGTATAAAAGCAGATGTGATAATAGACTAAATGAAATCACGGAAAGGGCAATTGCAGATAAGCGTGAGGTACTGCCTAAAATGTGAAGGAAGTGTTTATCTCATTTATTTGGACATAATTTTATTGATTTCTGGCTAACAAGTTGTGTTGCAGGCTGAAATGTTGGCAAAGAAATATGAAGAGAGATACAAACAAGTTGCAGAAATAGCTTCCAAATTAACAATTGAAGAGGCAAAAGTTCGTGAGATTCAGGTAATCATTACTTTTTCTTTTATGTGTGAATGACCTTGAGTTGGTTTGAGCTATTTGAGCCGTTGTATTGGATTAACAGTTTGTATTACAAAGGGTTTCTTCACATGAATTTTCCTGGATTGAAATATCTAGATGTTGATTTCCTCATCTTAATGCCCGAGAGTCTGTCGAGGCATCATCTTTTTTTCGGGATAAGAGGAGATGACTTATTAACCTTTAAGCCTTGTTTCACATGTCTGAGTCTTTGTTCTTGTGTTTTTTTCCTTTATTTCTATCCTAAATATCTCTGCATTTTAATCTACTATGTCCTTCCATTCTTTATTTAAATCGGCATATGGCTACAGCATTTTGCCCACTAGCCACATGTTATCATGTAGTATGTAGGTCTTCATATCCCTTTCAGTCCCCCTTTTCTTCATTTCACCAACTTTTGTAATTGTCTTGTTTTTAGGAGAGGAAGACAGAATTGCACCAGGCTATTGTTAACATGGAACAAGGGGGCAGTGCAGATGGTATTCTTCAGGTAATTTAAACTGATCAACTAAATGTTTTTTGAATGAGTAAAATTTTCCGACACTGAGGCATCATCGCTTATCTAGGTCCGTGCTGACCGCATACAATCGGATCTTGAGGAGCTAATGAAAGCCCTGACTGAACGAAGCAAGAAACATGGACATGATGTTAAGTCAGCTGCAGTAATTGAGCTTCCCATAGGTACCTTTTATCCTTTAATAAAGGAAGTTCTTTCTCACAACTTTCATCGAGTGAAGTCCTGTAGTGTAGTATGATATTCTTACCATCATGATTGGTGTTCTTGCATTTTACTTTTTGATCCAACTTCTTGAGGGCCTAACCATATTTTAGTTCAATGCTTCCTTTCAAAAGTTATTAGCTTGGTAATTCTGTGGAGATGTTATTTTATTTGAGCATGTCTATGGTTGTGTTTGGCGATGTATCTTACTGATTTTCATGGTTGTCTATGGGCTGTGGACTATACATGGTGACTCCCCCTATGACCCTAAACTTCTATATTTTGAGCTCCTCTCTGCTGTCAATTTGGCTTGCTAATGTCTGTTTAGATTCTCTTTTGGCAGGGAACCACTGTTTTATTTTCATTTTTGTTTTTGGTCTTTAAGAACCCTTTTAGTCACTTTAGTGGAAGGAAAGCGACTTGGATGTTTGCTAATTGTTGTAACTATTATCTTTGTTCATGTATGGAATGATCCTTCAGTTTTCTGTTTGTCTTTGTTTTTACAAATTCATTTACTAATTAATTAGAGATCGTTTTGGCCTTTTCATTTGCTATGTCTTTTTAAGGTTGGCAACCGGGAGTACCAGAGGGAGCAGCACTGTGGGACGAAGAGTGGGACAAATTTGAAGATGAAGGTACTTCCTTCCATTACTGTTTTAGTATTCTGCAAATGAAGTTATGTTCAACTTGACGGGGTTCTGTAACAATTTTATGCGGTTTTTCACTTCAAATTTCAGGATTTGGAAATGAGCTCACCGTGGATGTGAAAAATGTTTCCGACTCTCAGAGAGGAAAAGCATCTCCAAATGGTAGCTTGACCCCTGATTCCTCCTATGTGAATGGAAAAACTGGGAATCTCTTCAGTACTGAACATGCCTTTGAGAGCGAGTCTGCATATGCACACAGTGAAGATGAATCCGCCAGAAGTCCTCATGGTAGTCCTACGGAGATAAACAAACTAGAAAGTCCATCTCGACAATTTTCTGATGACCATTTTGAGAAGAGTACTGAAGCAGATTCAGAAAGACATCGGTATGGATGTATACAACTTTTTAGTTTGTAGTTGACTATTTTTGTCTTCCGCTCTTGCTAACTTTATTTTTTTTTCTGCACAGAAGTTTTGATGGGTCAGGATGGGGGACCTTTGATAATGATGATACAGACTCTGTCTGGGGATTTAATTCTGCTAATACCAAGGTGACCCTGAACTTCTTAAAGCGCACTTTTGATTTTAGGTTACAAGGATATTGTAGATTTGCCATTTATGTAGAATGATGAATTGAATGGTATATAAAATGTATGGTGGCGATGGGGTAAAAATAGTAAATAGTTTGGGATATTTTGTTGGTTTGTCTAAACTTTATAGATGTCTTTTAATATTTTGTGAAGTTTTATGTCTAGATGTAACACGGCCGTAACCTTGTTCTCAGAGCTCTGTCACAAGGCATAAACCTGGCTGCTTTACCTAGCTTAGCCTCAACAAACTCTGATTCTTACGTGTTTAACATATTTTGGTGTGCTCATTATGATCCTTGCTCGGTCTGATGTATTGAAATGTATTAATTCTTGATCTTTAATGTCACATGGCAGGACTTGGACTCGGAGCACAGGGACTTTTTCGGATCAAGTGATTTTGGTGTACACACAAGAACTGAGTCCCCTCGTGCGGATAGCTTTTATGATAAGAAGAGTCCATTTACATTTGAAGACTCGGTTCCCAGCACTCCGGCCTCCAAGTTTGGGAACTCTCCATCAAGGTTCAGTGAGACATCAAGGGATTTGGACAGTTTCTCAAGGTTTGATTCCTTCAGCATGAATGATGGTGGATTTTCAATGCAACCTGATAGGCTCACGAGGTTCGACTCCATAGACAGCAGCAAAGACTTTAGCAGTGGATTTTCACGGCAAGCCGAGACGCTCACTAGGTTCGATTCCGTAAATAGCAGCAAAGACTTTGGCCATGGATTCTCATTTGATGACTCTGACCCGTTTGGCTCCAGCGGCCCATTTAAAGTCTCATCGAACCAACATAGTCCGAAGAAAGATTCCGATGATTGGCGCGCTTTCTAGCCGGCAATCCTAAAGGTAAAGAGAAGTAATTTTCACGCGGGCTCTTCTATTCATTTCCTGTTTTTTTGTTGGGTTGGCTACCTTTTTGCTATGCACTGTTGTGTTTAAATATTTGTGCAGCGCATGGAATTGGATTGTTGTAAAGTTGTGCCTGTATTTCTTCTTTTATACGGCGACGTTTTTTTTGGCAACTTGGCATACCAGAATAGTGATTGAAAAATAATCAAAAACTCAAAGTTCTCTACTTGTATCTGCTGCCTTCTCGTCGCACTTGAGTTGTAGATGATCAAAGCTTGTTCTGCGGTAATAATCTACTGTGTTTGTAGAATATAAGTTTAGGGTGAATTGCACCTCACATCCCCAAATTGTCTAGAATTTCAATTAATTCTCAAACTTCATATTTGTTCTCTCGTTAGTCTAATCATTTACGCGAGTGTTTGTTCAGATTTGTGGGAGTATATTTAAAATTTGTGAATTGCTTATTATACAAATTACAAACCTTAAATTAACTAATTCTCATTTGATATGGATTAAATTTAAGGTGTACAAACTTGGACGTGACATGTTAAAAAAAACATTATCTCATTAAAACAAACACCATGGCAAGGTCATATGCCAATCCTAATGCATATTCATAATCTGGAACGACGGAACTGGTGTGTCCGCTTCCATCATATTTCTCGCCATGGCAATGAGGTAACGGATTACTTAACTAGCTTGGCGAATGATGATGATCTTGGGGTTCATTGTATGGGAAAGGCCTTCACAGGAAGTCATGAATTTGTCGAGGATAGACGATGCTAGATCGTCTAGTTGAATTGAATTGTGTCAGTTTGTAATTGTTTCTTTAAGGATTCAGGTATACTCTTTTCCTCCAAATAGGATCAAGGAGGTTTTTAACGATACACCCATAATCCTTTCTGTGTATGTTCTTTAATCATACCGCTTTCACAAAAAAAAAATGATTCATGCAATTTACTTTGCATTATATCTAAACTGACATTTAATATCTCTAGTGGTCATTAATACCTTCATGCAACCTGTGTTCAATCAAGAATACATTTCATGAAAACCAAATACTTGAACAAGGGGACAACCTCCTCCAAAGTCTCTACAAGATATAAATGTAACGGGCATAAAATTAAATTATGTTACGAGTACATTCACCTCAGAACTATACATACATCTCTTCTTCCTCTCTCTATTGGAATATCAACACATATGTCCGAGTTACTGAGTTCAGAAGAGAGGAAAAGCATAGCAGGGATAACATAAATGGGGGTACGCATTGTGCAGAGTTACCGGAATGAGACAACTATTTTTCATCCTTACAGGCTCCCGATTTCTTGCTGAGTTTATCGAAAGCACAGAGCATTTCCGAGCGCGTGTTTGCTATCTCTACAATTGTATCTAGTGCTGCAATAGTATGATATAGCTTGTAAGGGAACAATCATCTTGTACTGAACGTGTTCGAAAGCATTGAGTTGAGTGCGCACCTGTTTCAAATGATAGCTGAGCGGCTCGGAGCTTTGGAGAAACAAGAGTTCCAAATACTGACAGCGACTTAGATCTCTCCTTTTGAACCGAAACCGGAGACAGACAGTTTTCCAAAATGATTCCAAGTAATTGTTTCTATATCCAAATTTACTACTTGTAAACAATCAAATTAAACCGGAAAATCTTTCATGGCTAAGTTTCCTTAATAGATGTATCACAGAAAAAGGTCTTTCTAGTTGGCACCGGAAACAAACTAAAAGAGATGCTTCACTGCCATTCTCAAATAACAAAGACAAGCATTCTCCAATGTCAAAACTCAAATCAAATGCAAAACAACAACAAAAATGGCCTGAGAGAGAGTAAAAGACAACACAATCCAAAGGCATTCCCTAGTTTAAAGTTTTAAAGGAAAATCAAAACCATAAGCAAGCTCTATAAGAGTCGTAGGATACTTGGTTGTCAATTTCACACGAAGCTTTATTCTCCGACGAGGTCTTCTCCTCTTAACACAAAGAGAAGGAGAATGTGAGAAACCATACCAAACCATCAAGAAGTAGTTATGGTTTACAATTATAATACCCATCATTTTGTTTCAGTATAAATTTACCGAAGAATTAGCCTAACAACAATAGTTCCAAAATCTTTTTCTTTGCAAATAGTTTCAGCTTTAAGTACATTGTCGGTCTCTATGGTATGCGTGTTAACAGCCAAAATGATTGTCAACTTCTATATAGAGTGAAAAACATACCAGAAAGCTGGGTAGCGCCCCTGTGTCGTAGCTGTGGATGCGATTTGTCCTGGCTAGATTGTTCCTCTCCCAACAACCTCTCATTACCATAAGATCCCCATTTACATAAAGTAAAATGCGGTTCTGCAGAGTCAATTACTACAGATCATGAATCGAATAAGTTCCTTATAGCAAAAAGATAGGTTCCTTATAGCAAAAAGATAGAAAACAAATAAACCCTATGATTAATGCCTCAATACGAGCGAGAATTCAGTGCTACAAATATAACCTTCTCCAGTCTAGTTCACAAAGGCAGCTTAAATCACACTTCCAAGAAAAAAAATGAAATATGAATTCAATTAAAGCTGATAAATACCTTTTCCCTCATCTACAAACAATGATGTAGCAGTAGGATGAGATGTATGGTCTAACAAGAAAGTGTTCACACGATAAGTACCCATGGAATGTCGAGCACTTGCTAGTTCAAACCATCCCTGTATTTGGTATTTCACTTATTAAAACAAAAAAGAAAAAGAAAAAAACACAAGAAGATCAATGCTGGGTAACATAAACAACAGGGATGGACCGAAGGGCCTGAAAATTTCAAATTCTCCTATAATTTAAATATTTTCTTTGTATTTATTAATAATCTATTTTTCCCACCTAAAATTTTTCAAGTACATCCCTAATATAAAATTCTGCTTCTGTTCTATAAACAAGGACTACAAGTAACCAAAAATCAAGATTCAAAGGTGACGCTTTGATGGATTCATTGTTTTTTTTTATTCACTTTGTATTGGTAACGAACCTAACTGAGATTTAATTTATATAACCAACTCAAGTTGAAATTTCATCATTCATCGGTCCAATCGAGTATCACAAAACAAAATTCAGAAACGATAAGTAAGATTATATATGAGAAAAAAGAAAATATTTTTTTTACCTGGCGAAGTGTGGAAGATAAAGAATGGGTGAGGGTGAGATAAGCGTCCATTGAATCCGTAAATTGTAAAACATTTGCATTCTCATCTACTACTTCTTCTTCTTCAGCTGCTTTTCCATTCTCCAAGCTATGTGTTTTATGATCTACTACTTCCATCTTCCAAAACCCAGAAATGCTTCTTGTTCTATTTCCTTGTTGAACTTTGAAATTGCCAGAGATTCCCAGTCTGAACCAGTGTACTGGGAGATTGAATCTAAGGCATTTGAGCAGATGGACTGCACAATATGTTGATCCACATCAAACCCTAAGCCCAATATCATGGGGGACAATGTGGGGATTGTAGCTTTTCTTTTTAGGTATAATGTCAAAATTGATCCCTGTACTTTACTAAATATTTTATAATGAAACTTCTTTTAAAATGTCTACTTTAATACTTTAAGTTTCATTTACAAGAGTGTTACATGTCATTGACATCACACAATGCTATTTTATTTTTTATTGGTAAATATATGTTTAGTATATAAATTATTAATTTTAATTCATTTTAATATTTAAACTTTTAATTTTTTTTAAATTATACCTAAGTTTTAGTTTTTTTATTTAAGTACGCCGTTGTTAAATATTTGACGACACTATATTTTTTATGATTAAATTCCTTTATTTATTACTCGATTATCTTCCCACTCTTATTTTGATATAAAAGTTTAAAAATTTTCAATTTAATCACTCAATTTTCAAATTGCTTCTATTTTAGTCACTTTAATTTATTTTATTAATAATTTTTGAGACATGACAATTTTTATTTTTATTTTATTAATATATAATTAAAAATAAAAAAATAAATTTGGAAGTTAGAGTGATTAAGTTGTGAGTAATTTGAAAGTTAAGTACTTAAATTAAAAAAATTAAAATTTAGTGACCAAAATATGAGTGAAAAGCCAGTTGAGTGATGAATGATATGATTTACTCATAAAAAAGTTACACGTACAAATCACTTGTTAAGTTTCTAATGGCTAGAAATAAAAATGAAACAAAAACTAAATGTCAGATATGATTTTAAAAAAGTGAAAGTTTAGATACTAATACAAATCAAAATTAATACTTCAGGTATTGAATGCATATTTTTTTTTACAATTTAAAAATTCTATACATGAAATCATTTTGTGGGGGTGTATATATAATTTAATAATCGTTAATATAATTTTTATAATTAGAGGAATTTAATTAATTTTTTTTAATAAAAGCTCAAGTGATCTACAATTAAAGTAAAATTTAGTTAATTTATAAGTAGAATTAGGCCCGTAAACGAAAGAACGAACGAACACGAAGAGAAATATGTTTATGCTTATTCATTCAACTTTAATCGAATAAATGGAGGAACATGAACATAAACGAACAAAATTTTTTTGTTCGTGTTTGTTCATTTAAGTGATAAACAAACAGATATAAACGAACACAATGAACGAATGTAAACGAATATAAACGAACACACTAAATGAACAAAACAAACGAACATAAACCACAACAACAATAATCACATAAAAATTCAATACTATAAGTTGCAACTTCATAGCTAACATGTATTTAATTGTTTTGGCTTTTTTTATTTGTATTTAAAATTATTTGAATTTTAAAATATTAATGGATATCAGATTAAATTTATTGGGTCTTACTATTTTAAATGGGTCTAAAGATATTGAGTTAAACATAAATGAAATAAAGTAAACGAACATATTATCGAACGTTTACGAACGAGCCCTCTGACCGTGTTCGTTCATTTAATTAAACAAACACAAAATATTATTCATGTTCATTTATTTAATAAATAAACGAACATAATAAATCTTCCGCCGAACGATTTATTAAACTTTTGGTTTATTTACATGCCTAGGTACAATTTGAGCGGCATATATATTTGGCCGGCAAAATTTTTTAGATAATATTATAAAAAAAATAGATGATTTGAGATATTGAGTGAATTATTTGCCCTCTTTCAAACGTCTTTTTCAAAAACATCAGATAATTTATAATTAGCGCTATAATAATACCTAAAAAAATAATGCTCTCAACAACCTAAAGCAAGTATTTTTGCCTATTTAAGCCTAAAAAAAGTAGGTATGGTATTTATGTTGAAATCGAGTCGACTGTTATTGCTATTGAAATTTACCCGCCATTTCGATTTTTAACTTTGGTTTTTAACCGGCGAGGCACGGGGAACCCGCCAACCACCCTGCCTCGCAGTCAGGCATCAGATACTCGTACTGTTCTCGCTTTAAATCAAGCAAAAAGGGTTTTTTTTTAATATTGAAAAGAAAAGCAAATAATTTTCATGTTATTTTCTGGTTGAAGCACTTTGTGGGGTCACCGGAGGTTGCATGATGAGTTGGTGCCTCCACTCCATACGCCTTCTCTCTCTCACTCTGGCATATGAGATGCGAGAGATGACTGCTCTCGACTCGTTTTGGGTCAACTTTTCCTATTTTCCAACTATTAAATCTCTTTCTCTTTTTCTTTTTTAAGATTAATTTAATTTTGTCCCCTGCTGCTTTACTTTCCTCCTATTTGTTGTCGTCTCAGCTCAAAAAAAAAAAAAAAACACCCCATCATCACCGCTTTCTCAAGACATCAAAGGAACCAAACCCTAATTCAAATTCCTTCCAAACTCCCCAATTTCGATCATTTCATGCAGATCAATCAGCTTATGGAAGTAATCCACTTCGCCCCTGTAGTCCAACATCAGTTTTTCTTCGATTCTTAGAGCTAAAACTAGATTCTTCAAAAACATCGTTCGTTTGTCTCGCTTCAAGATCAACAGGGTATGATTCCTTTTTTTTCTCCCCTTTCTTTAATCAGCTGTGAGTTGCTGCAGGCTGATACCTTTCTAATCTAAAGCTTCTACTTTTTTATTTGGTTTGGGTTGAAGATATTGCTAAGTCTTCGATTTGCTAGATTTTAGCAGCTTGCATTTAGATTCCAATGTAGATTCATTGTTTAGTCGAGCTACTTAATTTGGATTTTGATAATAGATTCTCTTTCCCTTATGCTTTATTTCTCTGTCTAAATTCTGCAGCAACCATTTCTGGACAAACACTTGGTTGTTAGCTTGAAATTCCTTTTCTAGTCTTATACATCAGTTTGGCAGCTAATGGAGGGTTAAATTGGAATCATGTCTCTCCTTTTCATATCAAAGCTTAGTTTTGTTTATGGTCGAGTAATAGGCTAATAGCTCCTTGATTTTTGGTTAAACCCTTGAACTTCGATTTTGCTGTTTTTAATTGTTTCCTGTATTCCTTGTAATGTTTTCTTGAATCACTTGGTTGTTAGCCTTAAATATCTCCTGGTCTTCTGCATCACCTTCGCAAGCTAATGCAGTGTTAAATCGGAATCATGTCAATGATTACCGATGTTAATGATCACATGGTAGCACCTTGATTTTTGGTTGAACCCTTGAACTTTGATTTTGCCGTTTTCAACCGTTTCCTGCCTTCTAATGATTTCTGGACAAGCACTTAAAGTCACTAGTTTTTGAGTTCCTCCTAGTCTTCTGCATCACCTTAGAAAGGTAATGGCGGGGTTAAATTGGAACCATGTCTAACTTTTTCATATCAATGCTTAGCGTTGTTAATGGTCACATGGTTGCTCCTTGATATTTGGTTGTACCCTTGAACTTTGATTTTGCTGTTTCTAATAGTTTCCTGCCTGTCTTCTAATGATTCAGGACAAGCACGTAATAGTTAGTTTTAAAGTTCTCCTAGTCCTCTGCACCACCTTGGCCAGCTACTGGAGGGTTTAAACTGGAATCTTGTTTAGCTTTTTATATCAGTCCTTGATCTTTGGTTGAACCTTTGAACTTTGATTTTTATTTTTTTATTGTTTCCTGTGCCTTCAGAATTCTAATGATTTACGGGTAAGCACTTAATTGTTAGCTTTAGATTTCTCCTAGTCTTCTGCATCACCTTGGCAAGCTAATGGAGGGTTAAATTGGAATCCTCTTTTTCATATTGAAATAGTACTCTTTGATTTTGGTTGAATCCTTGAACCTCGATTTTGTTGTTTTTAATTGTTTCTTGCCTTCCTTCTAATGATTTCTAGATGACCAGTTAGTTGTTACTTCTAAATTTCTTCCAGTCTTTTGCATCACCTTGGCAAGCAGACACAAAGCCAGGGACCTACTTTAGGGGAGCCTAGATAAAACTAAAAATGTTGGAGGGCCAAAGCTTAAAAAAATAATTTAAAAGTGCTTAAATTAAATTTTTAATACTTGGGAGGGATGGAAAAATTTGTTAAGAAAATTTGCATTTTTCTTTTTTGCAGTGACTATATAAGTTGGATGGCTGCGAGCTGGGATGGAAGTTATGATACCGGAAGTCAATCGGATGACAGCCATCATTTCGAGAGACTGCACATAGAGCCCCTTTATGATGCATTTGTTTGCCCTTTGACGAAGCAGGTTATGCGTGACCCTGTGACGTTAGAAAATGGCCGAACATTTGAACGTGAAGCAATTCAGAAATGGTTCAGGGAATGCAGGGAAAGTGGAAGAAGGCTGGTTTGCCCATTGACCCTAAAAGAACTGAAAAACACTGATCTAAACCCGAGTATTGCTTTGAGGAACACTATTGAAGAGTGGACAACTAGGAATGAAGCAGCCCAGCTTGATATGGCTAGTAGATCTCTAAACATGAGCAGTTCAGAAAATGATGTTCTGCTGTCTTTGAAGTTTATCCAACATATCTGCCAAAAAAATCGATCCAATAAGCATGTCGTACGCAACGCTGATCTAATACCTATGATTGTGGACATGCTAAAGAGCAGCAGCCGTAAAGTTCGGTGCAGAGCATTGGAGACACTCCTTGTAGCGGTCGAGGAAGATGAAGATAATAAGGTTGTTCTAGGTTTGATGTTTTGCTGTTGGTTGACAATGACATCATTTTCATGTATGCATCCAGGACTGGATTATTAACTACTTATGCTTTATTTTTCAGGCAATATTGGCCGAGGGGGACACTGTGCGTACAATAGTAAAATTCTTGTCCCATGAACAGTCCAAGGAAAGGGAGGAGGCAGTCTCTTTGCTGTATGAACTTTCAAAATCCGAAGCCGTGTGTGAGAAGATTGGTTCCATTAATGGAGCAATTCTTATATTAGTTGGAATGACTAGCAGTAAATCTGAGAATGTTTTAACTGTTGAGAAAGCTGATAAAACTCTAGAAAATTTGGAGAAGTTTGAGAACAATGTCCGACAGATGGCTGAAAATGGTAGGCTGCAGCCTCTTTTGACCCAGATTCTCGAAGGTGCTCCCCTTTTCCTTGATAATTTTATGCTCTTTCTAACTTGCTGCCAGCAATATACTGATCCTCTGTTTTGCGATGGAGTCGTGTATGGCTTTATCTTTGTTTCATTGAACAATCTGATGATGGCTTTTGCCTAATATAGGTGCTCACATGCTCATCAGTATGTTGTTTTTCAGTCGACCGCATGCCTTCTTATGTAACAATGATTGCCCCTAGTGTTCACACGTAGTCCTTTGTTCATTTGATCTATGCCTGAAACTTGCTAGTTATTTCGTTGCTGCTTGATCTGGGATGAAATACTTGCCTGCTATGGTGATTTTGTTAGTTATCCCGAGCTGATAATCTTTCATGTTTTTCCTCTGAAATTTTCGTTCTCTGTAGTTAATGTAAAATGACATTGCTGCAGGCACACCTGAAACAAAGCAGTCCATGGCCGCATATCTTGGTGATTTGGTTCTGAATAATGATGTTAAAGTCTATGTTGCAAGAACCGTAGGTGAATCTCTAATAAATCTCATGAAAAGTGGTAACATGCAATCAAGAGAATCCGCTCTAAAGGCACTTAATCAGATTTCATCTTTTGAGGCAAGCTCCAAGGTGTTGATCGAGGCGGGAATACTTCCCCCTCTTGTCAAAGACCTCTTTACTGTTGGGGCCAATCATCTTCCCATGCGACTTAAAGAAGTCTCCGCCACGATTCTGTCCAATGTTGTAAACTCGGGATATGATGTCGACTCCATTCCTGTTGGACAGGACCATCAGACTCTTGTATCTGAAGACAATGTCCACAACTTACTTCATCTAATCAGCAACACTGGTCCAACAATCGAGTGCAAACTTCTTCAAGTTCTTGTGGGACTCACTAGTTCTCAAACTACAGCTCTGAATGTTGTTGCTGCAATTAAAAGCTCCGGAGCTACTATCAGTTTGGTTCAGTTCATAGAGGTCCCGCAGCAGGATTTGCGAACGGCATGCATCAAACTTCTGCAGAATCTCTCTCCTTACATGGGTCAGGAGTTAGCAGATGCACTACGTGGCACGGTTGGTCAGCTCAGCAGCCTAATTAGAGTCATATCGGAAAACACAGGAATTTCCGAAGAACAGGCAGCAGCTGCTGGCCTCTTAGCTGAACTCCCGGAGAGGGATTTGGGCCTCACGAGGCAAATGCTAGATGAAGGTGCATTTCAGTTGATCATCTCTAGAGTTGTCAAAATCAGGCAAGGAGAGACTAGGGGCACCCGCTTTGTAACACCATTCCTCGAAGGACTTGTTCGTGTGCTTGCAAGGGTTACTTTTGTCTTGTCGGATGAGCCTGATGCTGTTGCTCTTTGCCGTGAGTACAATCTTGCAGCATTATTCATCGAATTGCTTCAGGCCAATGGTCTTGACAACGTCCAGATGGTCTCTGCCACCGCTTTGGAGAACTTATCTCAAGAATCCAAAAGTTTGACGAGATTGCCGGAGTTGCCACCACCCGGATTTTGTGCTTCTATCTTTCCATGTTTTAGCAAACAGGCTGTCATAACAGGATTGTGCCGTGTTCACCAGGGAACATGTTCACTTAAAGAGAGCTTTTGTCTTTTGGAAGGACAGGCTGTACATAAGTTGGTTGCGCTCTTGGACCACAACAACGCAAAGGTGGTTGAAGCAGCACTTGCTGCACTTTCCACCTTGTTAGATGATGGAGTTGCTATTGAGCAGGGAGTGTTCGTTTTGTGCGAGGCAGAGGCAATTAAGCCCATACTCGACGTGTTACTCGAGAAACAAACGGAGAACTTGAGGAGTAGAGCCGTTTGGGTTGTTGAGAGACTTTTAAGAACCGATGATATAGCATATGAAGTTTCTGGAGATCAAAATGTAAGCACTGCACTTGTCGATGCCTTCCACCATGCTGACTATAGAACCCGGCAGATTGCCGAGCGTGCCCTGAAGCACGTTGACAAGATCCCAAATTTCTCCGGAATATTTCCGAACATGTGATAATTTATTGTATTGCTCCCCTGCATAATTGGGTGAGTATCAACGTGTATGTATTTTCAAATTCATCCTTTGTCTTACATGGATAATTTTGCAATTAGATATTACTGTATATTGGTGGATTTCCCACTTGTGGAGGATTTCCCACTTGTGGAGGGTTTCAAGAAATTGTTCATTTGTTTTTAATGATGTTTTCGTTGACCTTCATCACTTTGCACGAACTACCTATTGTTTTTGGTGTTGAATGTTGTAGGCCTTTAGTTCTTTTATTGCCTTTTCGAGTTCCTCGATTATCCGAAATTCTCTGATTTGAACAAAACCCCAAGGTGGATGTTCATTACCAGTGACTCAAACACGAACTGAAATCTTTATTTAGTTTGAAAATAATAATGAGCTCGTACTCTTCATGCACTCGTCCAACTCTACTGTTCGTTGTCAAGTAGAACCTACTATTAATTGTAGTGCTGAGGCCCTAAGGGAAACATGGCAGAAATTTATTAAGATGCAACAGAAGCAAGATGAAAAATACATAATCCGTTTATGAACAATGGTGAAGAAATTACTGTGAAGATTACTGCAAATGACCATACCTGTGCTACCACTGAATAAAGCACTAGAGACCAGATGTGGTCGCCGTCCTACAAATTGTGGAAATTCAAAGAAAAAAATACGAAAAATTCACAGGCCGAAAGAAATGTATGCACAAAGTCCCCGAGCAGCTGTGATGTTTTATAATTTTTCCGATTGAATTGCAGTGCGTTGCAGAAGGCATTATAGATGTAGCACCGCCATTGTCCTAGTTATGCAGGAAGAAGAATCTAATTCATGAGCCATGTGATTCCTAGAAATACGGCTCCAACTCATCTCCACATTAGACACATCACAGACAGTTAAGAAATCCAACACCTGACCAAATATTTGAAACATTTCAACGCCGAATATTAAGTTCCTGTCGGCAACAAAAACAGGGTTCCAATCCATTGGAGCATCGGGGTGCACCGAGACCTCGGTCCATGTCAGATACATCAGGTCTAGCTCCCACAATTTTCTCACAGCCTTGTTTCTCCGACCAATTTGCCCATCTCCCTCGCACCAAGAGACATAAAACACAAACAAGCGACCATTACAAGAAACAAGTTTAGGATAGTGCTCGTGAACATGGGGAGGAAATGTTGAGGTTTGGATTCCAATCCAGAAGCCTCTTTCTATGTCATAAGCAGCTAACTTGTCATTGTCGGAGCAGACATAGAACATCCCATTACAAACGACCCCAGCACAAACAACCCCAAAGTCTATAGGCAGCTTCTGGATTTCAGTCCATTTATTTGATACAGAATCATAGATTTCACCAGAATTCAGTGGCTCATCCCAAGATCCAAGACCTCCAACAGCAATCAACACAAATCTTTTACAACCCTTTGTATTTGCTTGTTCACTTCTCTGTCTTATAAACTTGTAAGATTTTCTATTCGGTAATGATGAAGGCTCATTTACATCAAAAGCATTTCTGTACTGGCGTCTGACTGAAAGCCTGTGGGGATCCTCATAAACATCTGACACCTCACCAACTCGAGATCTGGGAAACTGCCTATCATGTCGATTCTGATGGCTTTGAATGATTGAGAAATCTGAACAGACCTCGGATACTCCTAAAATAGGCGTTGATCTAGCATATCTCATAGATGAAACTTTGCGCCAAGATTTGGTGAGAGGGCTAAAGACCAATACACCTTTGTGTGTCTTGAATGAGCTCCTATCCACCCTCCCAAAGTAGTTTATGCTTGAACAACCTCCAACGATATAAACATCATCATGCATACAGGCAACTGAGAACATGAACCTTCCTCTGAGGATATCAGCACCAATCCTATGCCATTGATCTTGAGACACATCTAGTGCATGTATCTCCCCAGAGCAATAGCCGTCTTTAACAGCCCCAAATAGAAACAACCATGGCTTTTGACAAGAACCTTCTCGTCTCATTTGCAAAAACCTAGGAGTCGTAGTCAAGTGTCTCCATTTCTTGCACACAAGACGTGCATTCATAAGGCTGGTCAATGGTAGTCTCACCAAGCACATCTCAAGAATGTCATCTGGAAGAAAGATATGCATCCTGCTGTTTTGTACCGATTCGTCAAGATCTAAATCCTTTCTATTGCTCCTCTTCCAAAACTTCTCCCTCATGCCATACAAGAAGCAATCAAAATTATTTTCCTCAATACCACAAATTGATTTGTACAGCTTTCCTCCTTCACTGATACTCGGCCTTCTCCTATAACTTGTATCACCAAATTCCTCACCTGTATCAGCACTGACTTTGCAACCACCACCTCTACCATATAGAGTTAGACATTTCAGCGAAACCCCTCTCACCTTATCATCTTCATCCTCTTCAACTCTATGGTTTTTTCCCCTCAACTTCTGACTAACACTCCTCACAAGCCGTTTAGACACAGTTAGAGCCTCAAAATCCTGACCAAGCGATTCCTCATTCGCACTCTCAGCAAACATTATGGTCTCGAACTCTGGGCATGCAAAGGTGCACACCCCTTTCTATACTGCTAGCTGCATTTTGGTTATTTAAACCCTCGCATCTACAGAAAAAAAGGCCAATGAGGTTGCAGCCAGACGGACACACAAAGGGGAAAACAATTATTAGCAAAGATTTAAACTAAAACAAGAATGGCTGAAGCCCTTGCCTCCCTGGTATTGCTAATAAACATATTAACCAGATAACAAAGAAACAAATAAGACAAATATCCAAATACTTAATGCAGAGATCATACACTGGGTTTGATTAGCCATTACTTCTAAAAAGAATCAGAAAGTAAGGCAAAGGCTAAGGCATATGAAAGCAAATCGAAACTAATGATTTCAAAGCCAAACAAGAACAGCAATGAATATCATCACTTTTCATTACTTCCAGATAACACAAGCAGGCAGCAATAAATTAAGGTAGAATTCAGCTAAATTCAAGGTTTTCACAGGAATAAATCCTTGTTTACAGATCCATATACTCCATTTTAAAAAATCTCACTCGTTCGAATCAGATCCTTCCGCATTTCATTTCAAAGCAAACCAATGGAACTAATTCGGCGCAACAAATGATTCAAACGAAAATGACCAATCTCTCATAAACCTAAATTCTCAAAACAAAAGAAAAACGAGAGAAGAAACTTACATTGCAACAACGACAAATCGAGGGTTGCGATCAACAAAAGAAGCCAGAAGAAATACGAAAAACAATTAAGCAGAAAAGGATCGATGATTAGAATCCATTGGGAAATTTAATTAACGAAAACGAGAGTTTGGTTGGTAAAGCGCCTCGGCACTGATTGGCAAAAAAAAAAAAAAAACGACCCGTCAACTCGGCTCAACTCAAAATACTCGACTCTGCTATTCGCTTTACCTTTTGGTTGTCATCCCCCTCTCTTTTATCTTTCTGTAAACATTATTCAACTTCCCATCAAGTTTCCATTCTTATATTATATGTCACGCCTTTCACAGTGCAAGAAAAAATCACAGCCGTCGATCACTTGGGTACAGACTTCGAAGATCCGCTTTAGTAGGCTAAGCTCTCGATGATCTAGCGGCTGTGGTGTTTCACAAGGTAACAGACGGTCATATTTTCGTTTCTTCTTTCCCCATTTTTTTCTTTAACAATCTTTAAAAAGTGGTGTAATAGTGGTTTAGATCCCTCTAATTAGTCTACTTTGAATTTAATGGTTGGTTGGTTGTCCTTTGTTCCCATATGTAATGGGGTAAGGAGGAGGTAAGATAGTAGGCTGCCCCCAACACCAGGTTGAGAGCAGCTTTCGTAGAAGACCTCCAAATTATGAAATGCCCTCAGTGGGACTCAATCTCACGACCTCAAGATTAAGAACCTTGTGCTCTACTTTGAATTTAATCTTTTTACTTTAATTTGAAATAATTCATCATTTACTTTTACAAATTATTGTCCGTAGAAATAAAAAATATCGATAATTTTTGTCGTTAAAGTATTTATATGAATTATTTTAATATTATTTGAGTATATAATTTAGTTATATTATATTTATATTATTTTTAGTTTTTAAATGTAAATTTTAAAGTACATGAATTAAATTTGATTAAATTAAAATATAGGATGATACAATTTGCATATAGTATATGGACTAATATAAGAATTTGACAAAAATCTTCTGATTTTTGTTTTTTTTATTTCTTTTGTTATTTTCTTTTTCTGATTTCTGATTAAAATATATAATTATGTAACTCATGTTTTTTCGCATTATTATTATGAATTTTAATTTTCTTATTTATTTGTATTTTCGTAATGTTATTTATGAATGTTTTATTTATGTTTTTTTATCTTGATATTTATTATAAATGTATATGTTTTATTTTTATATTTACAAAATCAATATTATAATAGTTAAATATTGTGAATAAAGTAGAGTTGGTGGTAATGTAGAAATAATGCTAGAGATGAATTACTGTTTCATCTTTAGAGTAGAGATGGGGGTTGGAGATGGCCTAATGGTTTGGTTATGGGTGAGATGTGTAAGCAAATTCCAGTCCCTTTTATGACAGAGTCGATGGAAGTGGAAGCCTTTATTCAAAGAATCAAATTCGCCATTGATAACAGCTGGCACAATGTGATTATTGAAAGTGACACGATGTCAATTGTTAATAGACTCAACAAGCATAATGAGGATGTATCAACCATTGGATTGCTACTCAACGAAGCTAGAGGGCTTCTAGCCTCAAATAATGATTTTAAAGTTATTTATGTGAACCGAGAGGCTAACAAGACGCCACATAACCTTGCCCATTGGGCTTTGTCGAATCCTAATCTATTCTGATTTTATTATGATGAACCTAATTGTATAAGAACAGATGTAATCACGGACATTATTGGAATATAATGAATTTCCTCTTTCAGAAGAAAAAAAAAGTTTTTCAGTGCACACACACGAATCATTGATTGTCTATAAAATACGTAAGCTCTTTTAGATTTAATGGATGATTAAATGTATAATAACAAAATTCGAATTGAATTGACTTTACTCGTAATTTCATAGATCCGACTTAAAAGAAATTCAAATTTGAGTCTTATAAAATAAAACTTAAATAATCCAAATTTTAGTGGTTAGTGAGTTGGTTTTCAAATTTGAGTATAATCTCCTAACTCTGTATGGTATACATATCACATATGAAGAAATATGTATGCATTGTATATGGTTATAAAAAATAGTTTAAATTGGAATCAAATAATATCAAAATATTATAAATATTTACAAGTGATTTTAAATAAAAACTTGAACAACTCGACTCAACTTGAAAAAAATTAAAATAAATTTTGAGTTATAAATTAAGACTCGTCAACTCGAATAACTTACAATTTTTTTACTCAACTTGATCAAACGCTCACCCCTAATTAGATGTATGGATCCTACCTTCATGCTCCAACTTCAGTGTTTCAAATGATTTAAGTATAATTTTATTATAACTAAAAACAAACTTTTATAAAGGATTAATCACACAAATGTTATTAAAATTGTTAATATTTTTTAATAAGAATAATTTATTTAATAATTTATTTTAATATATTGTATTAATGGTGTTTTCAGGTGTCTAATGTTCAATCTATACTTATCCTGTTATCCATAAAAACAGAATTTTAATTGTATGTCATTGATCTAAGAGGAAGGATGATCGATCCGCCCTTATGCCCTTCCACTTGATTAATGATAATTTCACCATTTTAGTTTATTAGAATTTGAATTATTTCAACTTAATCTCAATTAACTCTTCAATTAATAAAAAAAATAATGTTTTCGGATTTTTTAAGAAGGTTTAATATAAAAATGTACAAACTATACTTAAAAATAAAATTTGAATTCTAAAGAATTTTCACTAAAAATAAGAGTTTAACATTTTCTTTGTTATACTTTTAGATGTATACCATTATTTTTTTTAATTTTTAATAATAAAAATATATTTTTTAAAATTAAAATTTTATTTTTTTAAAATAAAATATTAAAAATTATTTTTAGAAAAAAAGCTGAGTCCTACCTCACCCTCATTCCCCCTCTTCCCCTCCCCCTCGCAGCAGCTTCCCAAAGAAGTTCGCATATGGTCACCTTTGCCGCCGATCCCCCTTTCCAAGTATGAACCATCAGGATTTTTAGGACTAAATCCCAGCTAAATCCCTCACCCATTAAATTTAGGGTTAGTGATTTTAAGTTTAAGGATTCATAGATTTAGAGAATTTCGAACGGTGATAAGAAGGATGGTCGATAATAAAAGTCCAGTGACTGGTGAATGGTCGTTCGATGATGGTGAAGACGGCTGTTGATAGCCGACGACGGTTGGTATGCGATTTAGAAAGAAAGATTTTAAAGTTTTAAGGTTTTTTTTATATATAATTTTAGAAAAATTAGAGTTTTTTAAATATTAATATTTTTAATTTAGAAAAAACTTCGGAAAAAATGAGGGCGGCACGTGTAAGATAATAGTCAAATTTAACGGTCGTTACGATCCATACATCTAAAAGTGTAACGTTGAAAACATTAAACACATATTTTTAACTAAATAATCTCTAGGCACCAAATCGTATTCCGAGATATAATTTAGGCTCTGATTTATGTGTTACGCCTTCCAAGAGTTAATAATCTAATTTAAAACATTTTAATGCAAAAAAATTAGCTTATACATCTAAAGACTTTTTATTTGGATAAACTATGAGTTTAGTACTTAAACTGTCAGTTTTAGTTTGTTTTAATATATAAACTTTCATTTTTTAAATCATATCTAACGCTTAGGTTTTCTTTCATTTTAGTAACAAGCTGACGTTAAGTTTTGAAAAAAAAAATGAATGTTTATATACCTAAACTATTAATTTTGATATGTTTTATTACTTAAACTTTTAATTTATTCAAAAATCACACATAACATGTAGTTTTTGTTTAATTTTAGTACCCTCTGTTAAAAACTTAACGCTTTTAGTATTTAAACTATCAATTTTGTTCCATTTTAGTACATAAACTTTCAGTTTTTTTAAAATTTAACGTTATTTTGAACAATAGTTCTAAAATGAAACAAAAACTAAACTTTAAGTATGATTTAAAAAAAGTAAAAGTTTATATACTAAAATGGATATAGTTTAAGTACTTAACACATAATTTACCCTTATTTCTACGGCCCAAGGCAAAGTTCTGTTGCCATCCGTTTTTGATGCTGAAAATTTTCTTTTAAATGCCACGAGCGACCCGGTCCAGTCCGGCCGGGTCCGAGTTGCAACATAACTAACTACGCAAAATGTTAAGGCCTGCTTAGCTGTTGCTTGTAAAGGCCCGAACCCGATTCTTCTCTAGCTCCTCAAATTAAGAAGCTCATCAATCGCGATTTGAAAATTCGAGAGCATTGAGCGAGATCGGAGATGGCAGCTTCTACGTTGTGGCTCCTTTCCATCTTCTCCATTTTGTCCATGGCCGCTTGCATCGACGACAAATGTGCTGCATGCAATGCCGTCGCGGTAATAATGGAAACCGTTGATCAACATATGCTGTTTCACTCGCAGTCAAAATCAACGATTCCATTTTTCTTTTTTTTTTTCTCCATATTTTTGAAAATATCAACTGATTTTTTATTTTTATTTTTTGGTTTCGTTGGATGATTTGCAGGCAGAGCTAGAGAGTCAACTGTCAAAGGTACGGGCTTATCTCCCATATACATATGCCTTTAAATCAATGCCACTTTCTGCAAATTGAGCTGTAATTGGGTAATTAATACAATAATTTTATATATGTAGGAGAAACCCAGGAACCATTTGGATATGAGACATCGTTTGGATTCGAAAGGTCAACGCCAAGGGAATGTTATTGATTACAGGTATAACCATTTTCCTGGGAAAAAATCAGCATTGGTAATTTTTATTCGGATAGCTAGTCTCGATCAAAATTCTTTATTGTAGAAATTGAATTAAAAGAGCTTCCCGTCTTTCTTTGATTCCGGGCTTAGCGCTGAAGATCAATGACGAACTGTATGATACAGTAGGAATAAAATGAATGAAAGATCAAACAGAGTAGTAAATGGAAACAGTGAAATTAAGTGGGACGTTGAGCAAAGAACATCAAATTATTAATATGGAAATCACATATCACAATTATTTGCTGGAAATTGGGGAGAAGATTGATAATTAACATTTTAATAACGACAAATGGTTGACATTTTGGATATTAACAACGATTCAGGTCTAACATTTGAGATTTGTACTTTTTACCGCCACTGGGGGTTTGCTAACAAGTGTCAAAAGGGTAAATTTTAAGGTGATCGATCATGTTAGGTAAAGCAGTCTTAAATAAAAGCCTAACAGCTCTTTTTAGCAAACTAACACAAAATGATGACTTTTTTGGCTATATTTTAAACAATGAGTTTCAAAGGGGGATTTTCGACTACAGCATTTCTATTTGATGGGTTGAACATTTTACTATTACTTTGACCTTTTGGATTGATGGGTATAGCAAGCAGGGATGCAAACTTCTCCTCAATGTTTAATACCCCTGTATAATTTATACCTTTGCTTAAATTTCATTTTTTTTAATTAGGATGAGTGAACTTAGAGCTGTTGAACTACTGGATGGGCTTTGTGATAATATGCAAGATTACACTCTTGAAAAGGTAGTTCTTACTTGGACTCGATATCTTCCTTATGTATATTCACGGGGAATTCATCTTTAAACATGATGTTATGTTTTCCTTGAAATTTAACTGGATATTTATTTGAATATCTTGTAGCAAATAAGATGTCAATATAATTATTATCATGTAGTAACAGATACTGAACTTGTGGCAGCATTGAACAAATATGCAATTGTATAGGAACCGCAACTGTGTTCATATGCAAACTGTTCATATTCTCCAATCTCTGTTTTATAGTCGTGTATGCTTTATGACAGCTTATATCGGCATGCAAGTGCATGTTATTTCATATCTGTTTTATTTATTTATTTTGCAGATAGATTCAACTCGACGTGAGTGGATCAAAGTGGATAACTGGGACATTCTCACTATTGGTATGGGTCATTTTGTTTTTGTTATTATTACTACTTTTTTGTTGCAGTGGCAAGTACAAATATGGTTGGTGCATCATAAACTGGCTGGTGAAGCCCTTGATCAATCACAACCACTATCAGAGACTGAAAACATATGGTTCACTTCAAATGTGATTAGTCCCTTAATTTGATTTTGGGCTAAAAAAAATCAAGGACTTGATCTTTGCTTCATACATTTGGATATATTGTTAATATATATGAGGCATAAGTTGGACATGCATGTGCATATGCCATCACTCTGATGGTTTTACTTTATATCCCTAGGATACCTGTATTTCTTCCTGACCATTAACCGAGCCATTGTTTTCTATACTTTCATGTCACTAGGTACTTCTATGTTTATCACGTCCTTGGAGATGCTGTTAATTTCTCTTTCTTTTTGTTTTAATAGTCCATTTGTCTCATAAGTTCTAAAGTATTTCCCCATTTTTACATTTTAATTTATTGATAGGTAAGCAAGAAGCTAAGGCATACTCGAAAGACATATCCTCTTATTGTGGACGGTGGGACTGCATGGAGTTTGCACTATTCCTCTAATCAAGTGTCATTTATGATTTTTTTTATTTCTTTGGCAGTAGTTTTTTTATATCATATAATACAAATGCCAGCTATATTATAATAACCAAGTTCATATTTGTTATGATAGGTTACTGGAGGAAACTGAAGATGAGGTGAATTTTCAATCTTGCTTATCAGCCTAATGATGCCTGAAATTTTAATTATTACTTTGCTATCAAACTCATGCAGTTAACAGAATTAATAAAGAAAGGATCTGTTAAGCAAGGAGAAGTAAGCAAACTTCTATGCGAAGATTTGAGCGAGCACTGCAGCGGCTCAAGGTATCCATGATTTTATTTCTCTTTCCTCTCTTTTCAAGAAACCAGTTCTGGCTCCATCCTAAAAGTCTACTTCTGTGGCACTTGCACTTCGGTTTCTGGTGTTCTGACATTAACACTTATTTGTATGCAGTGATAGCAATTCCGATTCCTATACCAATAGTAATGACGAACTATAGACCATCGGACTCATCGTTGTTCAGCGGAAGAAGAGATTTTATGGGAAAAAAAGTTACCATGCGTTGCAACATTACCGAAACGTGGCTGTTTAATTGAGACTTATTTTTGTGACTTAAAACAAAATTTTGCTCTTTGGAGCATGTTGAGACCTTTCTGGAACTTCAAATAAGATTTCACTTTTTGGAAACTGTAAGTAAACTGAATTAACTGTTTAATTGAGACTTTTTCTGCAACTTAAAACAAAATTTTGCTCTTTGGACCATTTTGAGACCTCTTTTTGGAACTTAAAATAAGATTCCACTCTCACCCATTAATGGTAAATGATATCAATCATTTAGTGGAAGTGCTAGAACATATCTGTCAAGATTCAGTTTATTTACACAGGAGTAAGCAGACTATGGAAGAAGAAAGAACAACAGATCCTGCAAATCGGAGGTGCAACATTAGATACCTCAGGTGTACAGGATTCGAAAACTCCAAAAGAATCATATTCTACATGACAAGGATGTCTCTGAATGAAGGATGACTGTCAGCCACGGTGAATGGGGGCAGTTACTCACGAGAAAAATGCCACGACTATTTCATCCTCCGATGTGTTCGTGTACAAATCACTTTTGACCATCCCATGTATCGTCAGTTACAGTCCAGCACACCCTTTAGTAATTCTTCCTTCCGATGATATGCTGCTCCGAACAAGCGTTTGTGGTATTCTATTTGAGGGGAGGATCAATGGAGAAACAAACCACGATCACTGTTAAATTATCACAAGTTTTCCGCTTCAATGCCTCCCTCACAAGCTCTCTCGAGCATCTTTCGGGATCGTTGTGAAGCAGCAGCTCTTTCCTCGCCATGGTCACGGCACACTGGCTGCTCATAACATCCCACAACCCATCACAGCCCATTATCAAGAATTCATCCTCCTCACTCAGGTCCATCTCCTGCAGCTCCGGCTCTGCACTTAAGGGGCAGGCAGATCCTTTTGGCCCCTTCATGTGCCAATCTCCAAGCGCACGTGCGACGGATAATTGGCCATTCAGGTAGCCATCATAAATTACTCCGCCAAGTTTCTCGATTCTTATTCTTTCGGACGTGCAATTAGGTTTTTGGTCCTTGGACATTTCAATTGCTCTACCTTGCCTTCCCAGCACAGCTCGACAATCCCCGGCGTTTGCAACTACCAAGGTCCTTTAAACAGATACTAACATTAGAAGAGGATTCATGGAAATAACATCCGAAAACGAATAATACCATTGCAGATCCGTGGCTCCCACTTACCTTCCGAAAATAAGAGCGGTTAACGCAGTGGTACCGGAGGATATATCAAGAGAACTAGCATCTGCAAAGGCATAATCAGCTTTCAGAAAAGCACTCTTGATTGCCTTCTCCAAACAAATCGGAAAGTGCGCATCTTCACTATGAATTTAAGTATATTCTCCCTTATAAATACTGCTGCATCTGTTCCTCCATGACCATCAAAAACCTGTCCACATGTATTTGAAAGGTTCAATTCACTAGTATGACCAATTAAGATTCCTAAAGCAGCTTCCAAGCTAATTGTACACGTAATCTAACTGACAAGTTTTTGATACTTTAACCTTATAACTAAAACATCAAGTTATAACGAGGCAGCTGATATAAGAGAAAAGAATGTTAGGAGAGAAAAAGACTTGTGTAACATTAAAAAACTTGTCGGATTGCCCCTTGAAATCCAGCTGCAGTTTACAATATCAGAGACAACTATGTGCTTCTTGCGGCATCCTTTTTCTTTTCGGCCTGGACACGAGTTTTTCACCACAGACTAGCAACCGTGATGATCTGACGGATAGAAGGAAGTGCATAAATCAGACCACATAAACTAAGATGGTTCCAAACAAGCATACCCCGTAGAAAGCTCCTGGAGAAGGGAACTTAGCAGTTGTCTCCAGATGTCCAAGAAGATCATCTATGCAAATGTGCTCATCCTCCATATACTGTTTGGGCCCTATTTCGGCGCAGCTCCCTGATCGCAAGACGGGCAAAAACTCGGTTTTTTCATCGGAAGATGACTTGTGAACTACAATACCGACATCCAATTCCTAGATAAGAGAAAAGTAGTAAGTTAAAGCATTTCACAGGATGATGTGTGAGAAAGTAGAAAAACACCATCTAGAATCTAGCAGAAAACACTTTCCGGTAGCTAATTCCTAAATGTGATTTTATGTCACTTATGATACAGCAACGCATCAACTGAAAACAATAAAAACCCTTTCCCTAAGTGATGATTTTCAACAAATATAAACAGGCTAATCCTTACTTCTCCTAAAAGCTCGATCAAATCAGATAAATGTCGAAACACAGAAGGTTATTCATCACAATTCACAAATGCAGGTGAAAATGGTCATCACTAAGAGTCATCAGTATCCTCATGCAGCAGAATTATTAGTGAATTTTCCTTTTAAACTAAACTAAGCTGCACTCAGATTTTATGCCAATACAGAAAGTCCTTAAAGCTCAGGCTCCTACAATTCATAATGATCAAAAGAGAGGAGCCAGGTTAGAGAAAAAAGATCAAACATACCAAATTAGCCTCCGTAATCATCCTCCCTGACTGCATAATCGAGAGGTGGCATGGAGGTTTCCCGTGAGTGACTTGTTTTTTCATTATCCAAATTCTCATTCATGTCTGATACATTAGCCTCAGTGTAACCACCTTCTACAATTGGCAATGGAGACGAAATATCTATACGTGCAGCCATATTCCTTTCCCAACCATATATCAAAGACCTCGGAAGAAACTTCAAGTTAAAGCAAGAAGAATAAATCATCCAAGCAATAAAAAGATCTGGGAAAACCAGTTGTCGAGGGAAGCTGTAAAATTTTCTATCCAAGAGCAAGGAATCGAAGTCAACTCCCAGATCAAACTACCCTTCTGCAGATAACATAAAAAAACCCAACTTTATATGAAACTAAGCCCTTAAATTACCCTTGATGAAGGAATCCAGCAACCATGTAGAAATTGGGCTCTTAATAATAACTCGAAGCAGTTGGTAAAATTAAAAGAACCCCAGATCATAACTCCAGAAACTATAAATATTCATTTTAAGAAGGAAAAAAAAAGATGATTAGAGCAATAAACAACAAGCTCCAGAGATTCGAATCAAGCTGAAAAAAAAAGCTCACGAAGAGGGTGTAGAGATTATGGGTTTATTGGTGCTCCGCGCTTAATTTTTGTTCTTCGGTGAAATCGTAAGATAGATCCGGAGGAGGATAAGAAAACCCTGAGAACATAGAGGGAAGGGAAAGAAGAAGCAAAAGGCGTCCAAAAGAGAGATTTGGACGATGGAAAAGAACGTAAATAAAAGATAAGTAAAATTGAACTTCTTGTTCCTTTGTTGCTATGCGGCTGACCACCGGCGATTCCAAGTAATCACCTGGATCTTCAAAGCTGTCCCGGGCAGAGGATGGCGGTCAGCCACGTGCATGTCAATTATTGGTGGAAACTATATTTTTTATTAACATAAAATAAATACAAAATAATATATATTTTTAAACATTTAAAATTAAACGTTTAAATTTTTATTTTTATATTTTTATTTAAATTTAATACTATAAATAATATCAACAATTCTTTTATCATTACCCCCAAGCTACTTAGTTCGTGCTTGTGGGAACTCTATGTTGTACCAGATGAGCTACATTTTAGTTTGTTGCCGTTGGAGTTCAGTTTCTTACTGCCGGAATTATTTAGACACCAAAAATTAATATAATATTATATTTGCAGAATAAATAAATTTTGTATCATTTCAACCACTCAAATCAAATTAAAAAAACATGAACATTATCCCCTAGTTTTTCACGTTGATTTTGGATGGTGCAAATATGGATGTTGGGTGCATGTCATTTGGCTTTTGGGTTGGTGAAAATAGTAGATTCTCCCTTCTATTTTTTTTGTTGCCCTCAAGTTCCAAGACTTAATCTTGATTAATCTGGATCGAATCAGGTTGTATATCTAGTTTTGGCGGGTGAGTCTCTCAACGAATTTTTTTTGCATACATAAGGACTCGAACTTGAGACATTACTTAAACGATATCAAGTTGCTTACCACTTAGGTGATTCTCCCTCCTCCTTTGATTTGGCTTTTGGGGTGCTGATTAGTTTTAGTTAATTATTATGCTATTCCACTATACATTACTTTGCCTCCTTCATATTCTTTCTTCTTTTATGTTCCTCCAAATTACCATGCACATGTGTGTGTATATATATATACATCTTTCCATTATCAGGTTAATATTTTCCTGTAAATTTCCAAATTCCACTGGGCTTGTTATATATTGGCATGGGAACATATTGGAATATTAGTAGTGCATGAGAGTGAGTGTGTTTGTGAATGTAAGTGTGAGCTGGTTTGATTGCGTGAGTTAGTTATGAGCTGTTAGCCAGCTGTTAGGAGTTGGTTGGGTTGTTAAACTGTTGTGCAGTTGTAGCCATCTCAACAGAACTAACCTGTATATAACACTAACAGATGTATTAGAAATGCAAGATACATTCTGTATACTTTCACTAGTCTGAAATCTCAACATGGTATCTTTCGCTAGAAGATCCGGGCGGTTTTCTTTTGCTCTCGCTGCTTGATAAAGAGGTGTCACAATGAGTGTTGATCAACTTGCTTCTTCAATGGAGGTCTCGAGGAATACTAAGGCTTTCTCAAACAAAAAAGTTAATGTCATATTAGATGAAGCAAACTTTCTGTTGTGGAAATAACAGGTGCTGCTCACCGTTCGAAGCCATATACATGAACGACTTCTCACTGGCTCAATGACTGCTCCACCACAAATGGTGGTTAGTGATTCTGGTGAAGCTGTGTTGAACAAGTTGTATGAAGAGTATGTGGATCAGGACAATACTCTTACGTCCTGGCTACTGTCAATAATTAGTTCACAACTGTTACCTCAGTTTGTGGGTGCTGAAATAGCCTCTGCAGTAAGGAACACGGTGCTTCAATTCTTCTCGAACAGATCTACAACGGCTGTCATCAGCTTGCATTACAAGCTTCAGTCTCTTAAGAAAGGAGATGAGTCTGGGAGAGTTTATCTCACTCACGTTAAAGAAGTATGTGATGCATTAGCATCGTGTGGCAACGCTGTGTCTCAGACAGTGTATGTTGCGAGCGTTTTAAAGGGCTTACCTCGTGAGTACCAGCCTTTTGTG